TTACTGATTTGTCTATTTACCAAATAATTTAACACATAGATGTTGTCCACTGTACCCATCCCCTTCCTAAACCCCGTTTGATTCTGTGGTACCTTACCTCCCTCTTCCACTTCCTTCTCCAATCTTTCCGCCAGAATATACGCATATATCTTATATATAGACGGCATCAATGTTACCCCCCTATAATCCTCCACCTTGTCTCCATCTCCTTTCTTCCTCACCGGCACTATCAAGCCCTCACTCCATTCTTCTATCCACTCTTCTCCTCTCCAAATCCTGTTACACAGTCTCCAGACAAATTCTACCAATCTTTCTCCACCGAACTTCCACACCTCTCCTGGTATTTCGTCCCTTCCCACCGCTTTTCCCTCCTTTAATCTTCCTATCGCCCTCGTAACCTCCCCTCTCTCTATCTCTTCCCCTGTTACTCTCTTCCCTCCCCTTATTCCTCTCACCACTCTTTCTTCCACCCCTCCCAGCATCTCCTTAAAATATTCTATCCACCTCTCCGTCTCTATACTGTCATCCACCCCCTTTCTCCCTTTCCTCTCTCTGTTTATCACCATCCACACCTGTTCTTCCGTTCTCGCCATTTTTGCCCATTCCGTCCATCTATCTCTTTCCTCTTCTTTTTTCTTCTCGCATAGTTTCTTGTACTGCCTTTTCATTTCCTTATATCTCTCCCCTCCCTTCTCCTGTCTCCTCCATCTTCTCAATTCCCTCCTTACTTCCCTCTTGTACTCTTTGCACTCTCTATCCCACCATCCCCGCTCTCCTCCCTCTCCTTTACTATCCTGCCCCTCTCGCAGTATTCCCTGTATTTCTTCCTTCATCTCTAACCAACTTATTTCTCCTTCCCCTCTTCTATCTCTCCATACCCTTCCCATCCTTTCTTCAAACGTCTTTTTTCCCTCCACATTCCATCTCCATCTTTTTCTCTTCCCTCTCCCCTTTTCTCCCCGTTGTCTCCTCTCCTCCTCTATCCATACCACCACCGGCATGTGGTCCGACTCTACCCTGTCCTGTACCTCCATTCTTACTATTCTTTCCCACACCTCCTCATTCCCTACCACATAATCTATCACCGATTCTCCCCACCCCCCCGAGTACGTCCACATTCCCTCCTCATCTCCTTTTCCACATCCGTTAAAAA